AAGGCCTTCGACAGCGTTGACCGCGAAGTAATTTGGAAACTACTCGAGTACTACGGCGTACCCCAAATATTCATCAACCTTATTCAACAGCTATACGACAACAGCACATGTCAAGTTGTAACAACAGAAGACAAGGGCCAGGCAACAGATCAGTTTTATTACGAAAACCAACAGGTATTTATATGTATTTTACATACATTAATAGGCTTCTGCCCCCAGAAAGAAGGCGGTCTTCTGATTGGTTGTTTGCAAACAAACGCAGTCTTCTGCTTTCTTGTTTTCGATATTTCTCGGAAATGCGAGCCACTTGTCTGCGAATCATATTTGTCCACGTCTAGGTCAGCTGTGATCGGTTGTTGAATCAGCCTAGATTAATTTCTACCAATCAGCGTAGATCAATGTCTACCAATTGGCTAGCAGCTTGCTCTCACCACAAAGTGATCCACAACGGAAAACTCAATGAAGCGTTTGCAGTAAACACAGGAGTCAAACGAAGGTGCTTATTATCACCAATGATATTCCTAATTGTGGTGGACTGGATTATGCATCAGACACAGGGAAACAAGAAGACAGGGATATCCTGGACCCACGTGAAGAACCTAGAAGACCTGGATTTCGCCTGTGGATGATTTATGTTTGATGTCACACAAAATCGAAGACTTACAAGCGAAAACCGACAAAATGGTCGAAGAAGCAGCCAGAGAAGACAGGACTCCAGGTGAACATAGACAAGACGGAGGTTATGAAAATAACCAACCAACAACAACAACTGCAGCAGCTACATCCAGTGCCAATCACAATCAACGGGAGGGATTTGAAAGAGGTTACTTCATTCACTTATCTAGGGAGCATTGTCTGTTCAACTACAGGAGGAACGGACGAAGGATGTCAAATCGAGAATCGGAAAGGCGAGAAACACATTCATCAACCTGAAACAAATCTGGAAATCTTCGTCAATCAGCCTGCATCAACAACAAAATTCGGATTTTCAATACAAACGTCAAGTCAGTCAGTTCTTCTATACGGATCAGAAACTTGGCGGCGGGTCACAAAGAATATTTCCAATAGCCTGTTGCAGACCTTTGTCAACAGCTGTCTTCGCTTTATACTGGAGATCAGATGGCCGGAAAGAATCACCAACAAGAAACTATGGGAACAAACAAACAAAACAAGAACCAATCGCCCAACAAATATGCAGGAGAAAGTGGAGATGGATTGGACACTCGCTGAGCGAGGAGGCCGGTGAGTGACATCTCGCGTCAGGCCCTCGAGTGGAACCCGAAAGGAAAGCGGCGAGTGGGATGTCCAAGGGTGACATGGAGGAGATCGTGTGAAGAGGAGCTGAAACAATATGGATTAACATGGATGCAGGTGAAAAGTACAGCAGAAGAGAGAAGCAAGTGGAGACGTGCAGTTGAAGCCCTATGTTCCACTAGGAACCTAAGGGAACAATAATATAATAATAATAATAATAATAATAATAATAACTTAACCTCAGACATATTGTGGCCTGTGTTACTGATAAGATTTATCAGTAGTATATAAAGAGACGTTCATTTGCATAAAAACATCAAATAGCAGGGAGATAGGTTTGAAATCACAGAAAGCAAATGATACAGTATTTCAGAGATATATGGGAGACGTAAAAGGAATACAAAGAAACACACGCAATATGAAGGCCAGAAGCAGCACAACACGGAAGATCTGTGCAAATGATGCGTTGAAGATAAGGTGTCCATAATTTCACCATAATTTCATCACGTCTCTCGTCATCTATCGTTACAATACTGCTACCTCTTAAATAATAATAAAATGTATTTATCTATTTATACTCATGAATTTCAGTTTATCATTCGAAGGTTTCAGTAAGCACTCCCATTTATAAGTTAGCTAAGCCTATAGTCCTAGGAAATTTACCACCGAACTGAGAGCAATGGATTGTGCCTGCCTTATAAAACTTTTTGTATGTGCCAATCAATAAAATACAGAACGATATTATTTTGTGCTGATTTTTCGCTATTTTTAATACTAACAGCTTAATTAAAGTGATGTTATACCAGAATTTTTAACAAAATCTCAACTTATATACAGTAACCTAATCATCGTTCTTCAGCATAAAGTAATTTTTGCGTTGTCAGGTGGGTAAATTGGTAAAGATAACAAAACCAAGTGTAGATTGTTGGATTTGATAAGTGCATGAAATTATAAAACTAACATGTGTGCTTACATAATGAAATTGCCTGTCATATTAGTGTTGATTTTGTCAATTCATTGGCAGTGTGTTGGAACCAATTTACCCACTTGACAACGTGAAAATTACTTCATGCTGACAGACTATGATTAGGTTACTACTGTGTATCAGCTGAGATTTTGTAAATTCTAGTTTAACATTACTTTAGTAAAGCTGTTAGTCTTAAAAATAGAGTAACATCAGCACAAAAACTTTTATAATAATGAGTATCATACACCCAATGCCCAATTTCTTTCAAATTATTATATGTTGAACTGGTTTTGGACATATATAGCAACTGATTATTATTCATTTGTCATGATTAACAGTTATGTAGCTGACTTCAAGGATGTTTCTAGCATAAATTAGAATCTGTCAATTCATAAGAAGTATTGGTTTTCAAGTATTGGCTTTGTAAGTGGGTGCGTACAGATGAAGAGTTCCAAACTAGGACAAAACAGCTGTCCAGTACTCCCAGGTTTTCCAGTGGTTCTCTTACTGATGTCAGCTCATGATGGAAATCCTCCATGCAATCATAAGAAGTAGACGGTTCATTCAATCACCTTTTTAAAACCCTACCATTGTACATTGAATTTTGTATTTAGTTCGAGTCTAGATTTACTGGGTTTAAAGATGAAAACTACATAATCTAGTGCATAGGACATGCTGCAAACCAACATCAAATAATGCGAATGATGGAGTAATTATTGAAGGTAAACATTAGAAACAGTAGGTCAGATAAAATAACTATGTTCACTGAGGTATGGGACCATATTATGATAATTTCAAGGCCCTCGTCAGTAATGTCAACTCTGGATATTAGTTGCATAAGTGTACAAGTCATTTGAACTTTTCGAATTATTGGTAGCTACCTTATCTTCCTATTAGAGTAGAAACAGGTTGGTTTCTGAGGTGAATTTAACCTACGGTCATTTAATTCGAACACCTTTTACGAGGTAATCATATACTGTCTCTTCATTTTTTAGATTATTCTGTATTAATGTGAATTCTTAAAATATTCCATTTTTAACTTTTTCTTTATGTTATATTAGCCAGTAATTCATATTTCTAAATTACAGGATACCAGTGATATAAGTAGTATTAGTAAACTCTCACTACTTAGAAAACTTTGTTATTAAAATTTTAGTTTCTTTCCAACCAGATCTCAGTAGATGGAGAAGAGTTCAAACCGATAACCTAATGTTTGGAAGTCGAGCGCCTGGACCAGCGAGCTTTAAATTCACCAGTATGTACCAAATATAATCAAGGATATGCTCTATGCCTCCTCATGAACAGCCGTTTTTTATCTAACATTATAACCAACAATGAGAAATTTCCACTTTAGTTTGTTTTTACGGCAGTCTGGTTTATACAGAATCATGAAACATGATTTTCATATATTTAGCTAACTACTTAATAAATGTCATTAGAATAACAAATTTCACATTGCCTGTCTCCCAGATATAATTGTCAAACTGCTTAGTCATTATGAAAATTGAAATTTTTCACAGTTGGCTTTGATGATTCCAGAGTCGTTCAGAGAAGATTTACTTTTTTCAGGAGATATAATTATCAAGTTGTACAATCGTTTATATGTAATATATCTTCACAAGAACAAGAAGGATTTTTCTTTCCTTCGTAAAACTATGAGGATAAGTGTTTGACGATGTGTTTGGATAGCAGACTTGGAGTTCAAACTGTAACAACAGAAGACACGGGCCAGGCAACAGATCGTTTATTAAGGAAAATCAACACACATTTATAGATTTTAATGTACATTATTGTTAGTAGAAAATACAGTCTTTTGATTGGTTGTTTCTCACAGAAAGTTAACCTTGCATCTCTTTGTGGCTGTGTCAGATCATCCATATGCTAACTGTCTCCGCCTACGCAAAGCCTTTTTTCTCATTTTGTCACCACCAATATTGAGGACATAAACATTGACGTCAATTACTGTCTACCAACTTTGGCTAGCAGCCAGCTCTCACCACAAAACGACATAACTAACTCCATAGGAACAGGTGAATTGATCAGTACACATTGATGAGGCCAGCAGGGGCAGCTTACCCTTGTTTTTACTGCCATAGATTATGATCGACAACAATAGGCTAAAAATACTGACTTGTACAGGAGATATTTGCGTAAGTAAATCAATTTAAGCTTCAGAAACTGAGTGACTGTTTCACCATATATCACCAATCTGTATTCACCTGCATAATTAAGCTTTTCAAAATGAGATTATTCGCAATTATTAGGCTATCAGCACTATGAGAATGAATACCAGGCCACTAATCACCAATAAACTCCTCCCTTTCTTAGAAGTAGTCGGAAAAATGACCAGCTAGGATGAGAAGCATTGCAAATTATTACACTGAATCCCGTAGCAGACAAAAAGTAAAAAAAAAACTGCTAACTGCGAGATTCCTAAAAGATGTTAAGCTATTCTCCAACAGCGGTATCACTGTTCTATGAGTTTGCACGAATAACTCTAAACGCATGTAATCTGTCCAATGGTCAATTAAGTAACAATCCATCTTAATACGTGTTAGATAAAAGACTGAAACTCCTTTAAGTTACAATGCTTCTGTATGAAAACGTAATCTAGAAATAAGAAAGTATCGGAAACAATTTCAGTACTATCATATTTGAAGGTACCATTTTTCCATAAAATGTAAGAAAAAGAAGCTATGGATGACTGGAAGACTTAACAATTTAATATACTTCATGATTTAACTAATCACATATTATTTCGTTTTACAAATAACTGTTTATCTGAATTGGTTCATTCTTCAGTATTTTTTACAATGAAAACATAAAAGAAGTGAAACTGTTTATTAATCAGTAAGTACAAGGCTGAGAAATGTTGCCTAACTACTTTCTTGTTCTAATTCTAATGCAGGACACCATATTTGATTCGATTTTTCAAATGATCTTTGCTTGTTTCTATCATTATCACCATGGTAAACATCGTCAGTGCTATCGTTATTTTTAAGAGTAAGTAAAGGAATTTGTTTTTCATGAAAATGGAAATTTTTAAAATAATTTTCATTATTCATTCTGTTATAATCAAGTGATATGCTTGATTCTGTTTGTCGTGTTCTTTCATCCGCCGTTGAACCAATGAATGCATTCGGACGACTTATATGAGAAGGATTAAGTACACTGCGTCTGCCATCCAATGAATCCCTCATTGGTATAGAGGTGGATGACACTCGTGACAATGTAAGTGCTTGTGTTAAAAGTTTTGAATGATTCGCCTGTACCTGTATAAATTCATCACAGTCATCTTTGTGACATTTTTCCTCATCCTCTCCTGACTCTTCATCATCATTATCATCGTCATCTTCATGAACAGGTAATGAAAAACAATTGAATTTTTGTTGTTTTTGTTTTCTTAAAGCCATTACATCGCGTTCAAGTTCTTCAGCTTCTCTTTTCAGTTTAGCTCGACGATTTTGAAACCATGTAATAACCTGTTCATAATAAAAATAATGAAACAAATTTCCTTTTTTAGTAAAATGTCACTTACATTTAAATTGAACAAAAGTTGGACAAACATTACTGAGACTCTCATGCAAAATAACTACCCAAAGAACTTCATCAACAAAATCAACAATGACATTAATTATGGTCGAAAACGTATTCCAAAAAGATAGACTTCAACAGTTGTCATTGCATATAGAGAAGAGACGTCAGACGATATCAGAAGAGTACTCAATAAGTTCAACATCAGAGTTTTCTTCAAAACATCAGACACACTGCGAAACAACCTTGTCCATACAAATCCCGAAAGATTCTCTATCGAATTGTGTCTATAAAATAAAATGCTTCGAATGTGATGCAATATACATCGAACAAACATCAGCAGAGATAAATCAAAATCAGAAGAAATGAACACCGCAAAACATCTGTTCGACCAACGAGAAATCCGGTTGAACTAGGAAAGCTTGAAAAATCATCAGCCACGCTATAGAATCAAGTCACAAAATTGATTTTGACAATACTGAAATCATCATCCAGAAAAATTTCAGAAATCACAAAGAACGTCTAATATCAGAGGCACGTCATATCTAAATTGTCTGATTAGGAATGATGGACTAAAACAGAATTTCACCTGATTACAACACACACGCAGTCCATGAAATGACAAAATCAACACTAATGTGATAAGCAATTTCATTATGTAAACAGACTCTGCTTTTATAATTTTACACACTTATCAAATCCAACAATCTACACCTCGTTTTGACAACAAAAAATGACCCCATACTGAGGAACGATGATTAACTTGATATATATAAGCTGAGTGGATTTTGTAAATTCCGGTTTAATAATACTTTGATAAAGCTATTAGCATTAAATAGCGAAATATTAGTAAAAACAACAATGTCGTTTTGTTTTTCATTCATTGGGAAATACAAAAATCCTTTATTATAATGAATATCATATACAAAATGCCAAAATGTTTTTCCAAAGCGTTAAAAGTGAACTTGGTTTGGATATATGTAAAAGCTATTAAAATCTTAAATGTTCTATACTTGAAGTAATTCATTTAATTTAATAATGGTTATGCTGTTACCTGTTTTTAAAGTACAACGATTTGCATTCACAGTCACAAGCACAGTTCAGGACAGAATTCTCAGTCTCTGAGGTGATTATTTTATCATAAATTTATTGATTCAAAATCTATTGACTCATAGTTTTGCAATTTTTCAATCGATAATTTAGTGTAGTTGTCATCCGATGTCAAAGATAAGTAATTCCCATAAGCTCGATTTGGTTACCACTCTTAGTCACCCCTTCTCATCAGGAAATTCATCTAGAGTTGGGCAGTGGACTGTTGTGATTCATTTGGAATGTTTATGGAGATAGCTTTAATAACAGACTGAAATCACCTGGTAAACCAAGCTGAAGTAGTAAGCAGCGGATATATGTTTTATTAAACTTTAAGATTCGTTATCAGTTCATATCCTCATACGAAATCCAGTAGAAATAATTTCTTTTCTTTCCTTAAAAAGGTGAGTATTAGCTCGTGACAAATACCCTAAGGTTAACTGAAAGTCCTTTGCAAAATATTACCTTCTATTAGTCCACTTAGGATGTAAATCCGTGTTTGTACAACAGGAACGTGAGTCACTTCTGATTTCAATTCTACTGTAATATTTGTATTTGAAATATATAACTTGAAAAACCAGTTAAATTACTTGTTGCAAATTATTTTAGGCAAATCCTTTTCTCCAGTAAGGTTTTAGTAAATATCATCTAATACACTGAGAAAATAAAACAAGTGTTCAAGTGTCTTTCATCTGTTGAAATTTTTATTCTGAACTCCTCTTCGATTTATTTTATTGAACGAAAACGTTCATCCTCTGTTGTCATATCAATTGCTAGTACGGATGCTTTGCTGTTTAAAACAACGGATGCTAGATTCGAATCTCAATGTGAACACAATCAGTCACTGAGAATGTTGACACATCCGGATGATGAATTTCAAATGGGACGAAACACACGTATTGGATTCTACTGCCAGCTACCACCTACCCAATAATATTACATCCCTTACCTATCCTACTAATGATAACTTTCAACAGTGCTGAAAGCATATCATAATTTCATTCTGTTAACTAACAATAAAACGATCTACCTTCACTGTTGCGATTGTAAACATTTAAAAAGACATCTTCCACATAAAATGGACTCATTATACCCTGCTCCACGTGTTTTGAATGCTTTGTTCAAATTCAGTAAAGCAAACAACTGTTTATGAAATGAAAAGTAGAATTATTTGATGACTGCTTTCATGGGAAATCATTACTCTTATGTATTCCAGTAAACAGTTTTCTAGAGTTGCTTCTTTTTACAGTATGAAACAAGATACAGTTAAACTAGATTATCAGTTCGATTCACTTGATATTGACAGCATGTTGACATTGCTCTGATATACTTCCTACTCCCTCAAGTTATTTATGTACAAAAGTGTACAATAGCTGAGAAGAATTTTCTGTCATTTAAAAGTCCGTTACTAACAGTAATTGGAAGCTATTGGTTCACCTGTTACTATAAGTTATGCAACGAAGTGCTAAATTATTATTACTTTTTCCTTTAATTCCTAGAGGAGCATAGGACTTCAGCCGCACGTCTCCATTGCGTTTGCTTCTCTGCCAACTCTTCCACCTGGCTCCACGTCTGCCTACATGCTTTCATCTCCTCTTCACATGGCTTCCTCCATGTCACTCTCGGACGATCAACTCGCCACTTCCCGTTCAGGTTCCACTCGAGCGATGGCCTGCTGTGTGATGTCACTTGGTGGTTTCCCCAGAGTATGGCCAATCCATATCCATTTCTTCCTGCACATTTGTTGCACAAATGGTTCCTGCTGTGTTGGTTCGCTCATTGCCAGAGATCCATCCCTGTTGCGGATCTTTTCTGGCCGACCATCTGATCTTGAGCGGAGTATTGAGCGAAGACAGCTGTTGATGAAGGTCTGTAGCTTGTTCGAAGTCCCCTTCGTGACGCACCAAGTCTCAGATCCGTACAGTAGCACTGAATTCACATTGGAGTTGGAAATCAGGATCTTATTTTTCATTCTGGGTGCTGTTGACTTCCACACAGATCTGAGAGAAATGAAAGCTTGCCTTGCTTTTCCGATCCTCGCTTTGATATTCTCATCAGTTCCGTCCGCCTGTAGTTGAAACGATGCTTCCCAGGTAGGTTGGTAAAGGAAGTTGTTTCTTTTCAGATTTTTTCCATTTAGCGCTGAACAAAAGAGTAAAAGAGTGCGAAATTATTTGAACCATAATAGTATGACGTTTTTCAAGGTCGAGAAGTTCATCATTATTCACAGTTTTGACACTCTTCTCTCCCTTTTCTCTCTCTCTCTCTATATATATATATATACATATATATATATATATATACATAGTGTGATAGTAATAATACAGTTATATAGTTACCTGTGTATTAGTTAATCCTAAATGTTTAGCAATTCGATCCCGATCGGATGGTGTCAGATACTTTTGACGATGAAAATTATTCTCTAATTCACTTAATTGAGAATTAGAAAAAGTTGTACGAGTTTTACGTCGTTTACGTGTTTGTGATACTTTATTGTAAAATTGTATTGTAGACTGTTCATGAAATTCATCTGTTAATAGAGAAAAATAAACAAACATGATTAGTAAAAAATAATTAGAGTAACAAAAAGTGGCGAATTGAATAATAAGCATAAGAATATTTTTAATACAGCATGGTAAAGTGTTTAAATCAATTCAAAGCTTGAAGAAACACTGAAGTTGTATAATAACGGAGAATAAAAAAGACGAATCAACATAATCAAAATGGACATAAGTTTGGAATATAAAAATGGCGTTTGTAGAAATGGAAGTGGCAAGAAAATCTGGGTCGAATTAGAAATAACTGCTGTACACGTTTCGTATAGATCCATAATTTAAGGCCACATATATGAAATGTAGTAATAACAACTTTACTCTAAAGGTAAAAAAATCCATTGTAATTCTGTGCAAATATTATTATTATTGTTTCCTTTAATTCCTAGAGGAACATAGAGCTTCACCTGCACGTCTCCATTGTGTTCTGTTCTCTACTAGAGTCTTCACTTGACTCCAAGTCTGCCCACATGCTTTCATCTCCTCTTCACATGACCTCCTCCAAGTCACCCTTGCACTGATGACCAACTCGCCACTTTCCATTCGGTCGGGTTCCACTCGAGCAATGGCTTGTCTAGTGATGTCACTTGATGGTTTCCTCAGGGTATGGTCAGCCAATCCATCTCCATTTCTTCCTGCTTATTTGTTGCACAATCGGTTCCTGGTTGGTTTGCTCCCAGAGATCCCTATTGCTGTGCAAACAGCTTTTCTTTTTTAAATTTTGGTGCATGTTGAAAGTCACGAAGACAGAATTTCAACTTATTCTAGAGAAGACAGAAGTAATGAAGATACCCAATAGAAAATAACAAGCATCAATTACCATCAACGATATATATACCTCAGGTAGGTCTCATGCCTCACTTTCTTGTGCGGTGTCGTTTCAACTAAGGGCGGTGGCACGTGCGAGAATTTCAGGACAGGATAAAAAACCAAGACATGTCATCATCACTCTAAAGTTAGCGTAGAGACCGACAGTGCTCAGCACAACGGACAAATCAAAATATATTCAAGTCTCCGCTTTTATATCTTTCCCCGAGTTTCAAAATAGTATCACTAAACTAACAATCGTTTCCAAGAGTACGCGGGTTATATAAACTTATCATCTGGCTGTAACTGTTAGATTTACTTGATGTTGTTAAGTTCATAGTGAATAACAATGTCGTGTCAATGAGGTTAGCAATAATACCATCATTGATAGATTCTAATCACCAATCAAATGTTAACAGGTATACAATTTTCCATAGGCCGACCTATTCGCTTTGTAAAGGAAACTCGTGATTTATAACAATCTCCAGTGGATTACAAACTCCACAGAATCTCAACAAATCAATATTCAAGGTCTGTCTATCTTTCAAAAGTATAGTTAATCAACTGATTATAATATGTGAAGAGATAAGAACGAAAGTGTTTAGGAATACATTTTTAACCTTGTAGATTTCACAAGAATTAGAAAGCAGAAAAAAAAACATCAGTTTCTTATCCGTTGGTATATTTCAACATCTATGAGTTAGACAAATGTGAAGTACTATTCTAGTGCAGTGATGGAATTCAGCTCATATACAGTAAGTGAGATTACTTGACTTCCTTTGTATAAGAAGAGTTTTCACTGTACATTACACCATATTACGTGAAATTACCAATGTACAATCTACCTATTAACTGAATTAATTTTCTTCAGTAACAAAGCAACACAGAAGAATTCACTAATTTTCTTTCAAAGTATTCAATTAACTGTATGCAATAAATTTATAAGTGTGATTTAACAGACTAAATTAATTTCGTCTATTTACTTATTCATTTTCAAATCCCACCCATTTTGAATATTAGTTTCATCACTTCCAAAAAAGAACAAAAAATTAGGTAATTTTCCTTGCTAAATTACCAAAAACATGTGGTGTAGCCATTTATGAAAGTGTTTAGGCATTTTACTACGTGTAAATATTAGTGCAATTTAGCAAACAGCATATATCATGCGCGCCTAAAACAAGGCTCTTGTTTAAAAGTTTCATGAATTGAACACATTGAATTTATTATTTTTTTAAAAAGGATTTTACTTTGTTAATTTCATAACTTCGGTTAAGTACTAACATTGCCAAACAGTTTTAAACGAAACAAAGCTTATTCTCTTTTTGTTTTCTTTAGTTTAGTTTATTGTTTTTAGAGGTCATTAAAAGAAATTAGCAAAGTGGATATTCTAATGGTAGTGACAACAATATTCAATGTGTTCAATATATACTTGTATGATAAATGTGAATGTGGATGAATTAAACGAATAGCTACTCTTATTGTTTACGTATTATTATTATCATCATCGTCATCTGTTGAAACCATTAATAAACAGTTGTTGTTTATTTTATGCAATGATAACTTAGAGATGTAGTCATAAATTTCTCTTG